CCTAAAATTTTATAAAAATAAAAAAATAAATAAAAAATTACAGAAGAAAAAATGAAATTAATCCAATCCATGTGTAAGTTCTCCATAACTCATTTAATATTGAGCACATTTAAGACTTGCTACACAATAAACATAAAAATAGAAAATTATATGTAACACTCAATTCACAATGGGGGGGGGGGATCAACTTGCGCTTTTTTCTTCTTCCTTTTGTTCAAAAATAAGTTATTATTTTTGAACAATATAAGTTATTGCCCTTTTTATTAAAAATATTTTTTTAAAGTAAATACAATTTTACGTTTACGATATTCCTCTTCAATTATCAATTACTTGTGCAATTTTACCTCTACAAAGTAACTGTTAGTTATAACCAGGGCTCAAAGAATTAAAAAAATAGTGGCCTGCAAAAATTTCTGGTAGCCAATGAAAATATGTACTAAAAACTCCATTATTATTTTTCTTTCCAAATTAGAAAGTTTGTAGAATATATCCATGCATAAAAATTAAATACTTGGATTCGGAATACTTATTACAAAATGAAGGAAATACTCATTACAACATTATAAAATATTAAGATTTTTTTTAAAGAGAAAAATTAAAATAAGAATAATCTATGTGTAATTTCAAAGTTATGTTTCTACTATTAAATATGTATATTATCTGAGAATTCGCAGGTAACAATATCAATATAGTGTTTTTTTTTTTACCCACATTTATAAATTAGGATGCAACTTCATCAAAATTTCCGCGTCCGTGGGACAGCAAAATTTCGCAATCACGAGCCTTGAACAACAAAAAAAAAACGCAATTACTGTAGATAAAAACTTTTCCTATTATTTTGCTGAAATAAAATTGAAAGGAATGCGTTTTTCCATGTATTTAACACAAAATTTATGTCATGGAAATTTCGAATCGTTCATTCAATTAATAACTTCTTAAAGCACGCGTTCGATTTGCGTCGTGAGTTCCCCTGGTTTTTTAATCAATATTTTTAATAGAATATTAAAAACGCAATTAAATTTCGAATAGCGCATTCTATGCACGCCTTCGAATTTTGAACTGCTTTTTCGATGGTTATACTCACGGATTTCTAAATAAGCATTAAAAACCCGATATTTTTAATGCAGAACTATTACGACTCATGAATCTCAAATCGCGCATATGAGTAATCACCTTTTGATTTTCGACCGCATTTTTTTGATTTCGCACCGATTTCATCACAAATCCATGTTTTTTCGATCGTACCAGAGTTACAGCTACGGATTTTCTATATGTTTTTTTGAATTTTTAAACATATTTTTATCACATTATTGACTATTGACACAGAACGTAAAATAAGAAGTTTTAGGATTACGCGACAGTGCGAAGATATTATAACCGTCGTTGAACAGCCAACCCAATTTTGTGGGTTCCCGACTACTAATGTTCAACTCCGTAGCCTTCTAATTTTGAACCCAATACAGAAGACAAGGGAACTTCTGGATCGAGTATTGGGAGAAGTTTTTCCCTCGTGGGGGACTTTTCGATGGAGCTAACCCGCATTTGCGTTAGATGGAGAGGAAGACCACGAGAACCTCCCATGGTTAGCCTGACGGCAAGGGGACTCTAACCCATGATCCGTCTACCACTGAGGATATTTCACGTCAGCACTGTGGTTGGTGCAAGCAGGATGCGGAATTCGAACCCGGTTCATCTCATTGAAAGGTGAACGCTCTATCCCCTGAGCCATCGCGGCGAAGATAAAAATAGGATTTTTTTTCCCTCTGATGATTGTTGAAAGTACGGGCAATAACGAGAAAAAATATTCAATATTAGTAATAATAAATTCAATATTAGTTAAATAAATTTAATATTAGCAATTTCAACAAAACAATTAAAAATAGTTAATTTCTTTCTTTAATAAAATAATTAAAAAATAGGTTTAGAAAAAATACTGTGGCCAAATAATTAAAATGCAGCTAAAAAAAATTTTTCCTTAAAAAAAAATATCTCTTTTTGAATGACTTAAAAAAAAATAATTTTAAAATTCTTATGATTATTTACTTGTTAATTGGACTAATATTTAAAAACAAATTACAAAAAGATTATTTCAAAAATATTGAAACAACTAATCATAAAAGATTTGTTTCCATCTTTTAAAAATAGTAAATACGTATGTGACCCCCAAAATCCCCCTTACAAATTCCCTAGTAGAAAAATTTAATATATTAAATCTTTTTTTTCTTTACAATATTATTCAAGAGTCTTCAAAAATTTGAAACAAATTAAGTAGAATAGATAAGACACTTCAATAACTTTTGTACAATTTCTGGATGGTTCTCCAGTAAATATTTGCAATTTTAGAATTTTCGATAAAATCTTCTGATTGAAATCAAGCAAAACAAAGCAGAAAAGTTTCATGTTTGATCTTATCTATATTAGATCAAATGAATAAAAGGCACATATAAATTTTGAAGTGATAAAGCTCTGTCATAATTAACTTTCTAGTATTCACAAGGAAAAAATAGTGAATAATCTCAAGTTGAAGGATTGTGATACCGATCCATAAATACAAAAGTGCACTAATGTTATTGTCTTTCTAACAATGTAAATGATGGAAAGAGAGAGATTGTTGTGCACAGTTAGCATGCAGTGGAATTTTAATGTAACTGAAATACTTCTTGAAACTGATTTTCTAATCATTCAAAAGGGCGCTAAGAGGACCAAACAGGGTATCTGCTACATTTTAGATTTTCAAATCCATGACTTTTCATGACTTAACGAAGTTACTATTTTCTCTGTCAAAAATACAACAATAAATTTGAAAAAGCATTATAATTACATTAAGTATAATCAAAACTGTTATTCTTTGCATCTTCATATTTATAGATTTTAAATTTAAAAAACCGAGTAAAGAAAGAATTGAAACAATAATATTTGCAATTATTTTTTATCTGAAAAGCAATTATTTTTTCCCCCCGAATTATATTCTAAAGATATTTTTCTTGTTCATGCGAAAGGGAAGAAATAGTGATTTTCCTGTTTTCATTTCGGAATTAAAAAAATTCGCCAATGAGTAGCTCGCTTCAGCTAAAGTTTTAAATTGATCAAATAAAAAATTATAATAAATAAATACAAAAAATTCTGAAATCACAGAAGTTTAAAAGATAATTCACTCTAGAAATGATGTTCCTTCTTTCATTTTTTGAAAGAACGCCATAATTTTTAAAGAACACGATAAAAACCTTTATATATTTTACTAAAATGTGACTGTGTGAGTGGGTTTTTGATACAAATTCAGATATTTGGAACACCGCGAAATTGTGGGCGAGCGGTAAATTTCATTTTAAAAATTAGACTTTTCGACAACCCAAATCCATGACTTTGCTCAAAATTATGACATTTCATGACAAATTTTATTCAATACCAAAATCCATGACTCTCCATGATTTTTCATGACTTTCCAGGTGCATGGATACCCTGACTAAAACATTAAAACAAAGGATTTTGAAACTTCACTCTAAAAAACTTAATTTGGAGGGGAAAAGCATTTTGAATAAAGCTGTGTATTCATCACCTTTATATTTAACATTTTTTTGTAATTAACAACTATAAAATCTGAATTTTGTTAACTTATGCTCTTTAATGATGCGTTAAATATACATGAAAATAAGCTGATATCAAAAATAAGAAATAATATGCAAACACTAGATATAAAAATTCTATATTCTTATTTATTCTTAAGTGCATAAACGTTTTATTATTATTATGAAGATGTTGTTTTATAATCTAAAACTAAGATTTTCATAAACCAACTGAGCAGATAAATACATTTTATGTATTGCGGTGCACATTGTGGTTATGTATTAAGATTACTAAGCAATGCAATATGTAACTTTTTATAAAATTATAATGATTAGGAATTTTATGAATTTTTATGGTTACTAAAGTATTTTTATGCTAGGTAAAAAATAAATTTACAAATTTTTCGAGTTCAAAAGTTCAATGAAAACAAAATAATACCAAATAGATTTTATACATACAAAGAAAAAAAAAGATTTCAAGATGCTTGTGATAAATAATGGATAATGATTATCAACTGGCGAAAGAATTAGAATAAAATTCTCTCATTTCAATTTAGTCAAATAGAAAAAAAAATTCCAGTAAAAGTGAACTTAATACATGAAAATGCATTTATTTACTTCTAATTCTTAACTTGAGAAAAATTTATTACCATATAGTCAGTGATAATTAGAAGGGTGAGAGATAAAAGGATAAAATTAACTATAAATGTAAAAATCATATGATAAATGATTAAAAACTATTTTTAAATTTCATTATGTGAAGCAAATTGAATATTTAAAAAGGAATTACAGTGATTGCTATTCTTTGCAAATTTTTTTTTACATTAAAAATTCATTCACTCTTTTCTTTTTCTTTCTTTTTTTTGTTTGAAGTTGGCGAAATTTTGATGGCATCCTCTTTATCTTGGTTACTGCATACACTTTACTTTACATGTTCTTATAAATAATCTAAGTGGTATTTTTTGCTTGTGTACATGAGAGAGAGAATAGCTTATCTTGCATATGCAGTTTGGAAAATCCTTATGCAATATTTTAATATCCAACTATATTTGCTTGAAGAAACAAATTTAGCACAAAAAAAATTAAAATGCAGGTGACATTAATTGTAATAAATTTTGTTTATTTAAAACTTAATATTTTTTTCTTCCTTCCTAAATGTCTCAAATGTTAAAAAATAATAAGAATCAGGCAACATTAAATAATCACACAAAAATAGATGAAGTTGCTTAATTGATAGTATTTCAAAGTTTCACAAGTGACCTACATGTTAAGAACATTTCTAATATTGGTTGTTATATCAAGATCTGATCAAGTATTTTCAATAAATTATAAAAACTTTTTCTAGTATCCAACTATGCGGATTACTTTGGCAATTAATAAAAATCCAATGTCTGTGTAACGACAGGTTCATATTCTGAAATATAATGCATTACTTACAAAAACTGTTCTAGATGAACAGCTTATTTGTTGAGAAGGTGATGTAGGCATATCATACAAATTTAAATCTTGAAATTTCTCAGTGACTTCTTGCACAGTTTGTGTATGTTGAGACAAATTTTGCATTTCAAAAAAAGAACCACTGGCTGCTGAGTTGATAGCAAAATGGCATTGCTAAAAATAATTTTAAAAAATTACTCTTTTAAATCTAAAGTTTAGAGTAAAGAAGTTCAAGTAAGCCTAAAGTACACAATGAAGTTTAAAATGCTGAAAAAATGTTTTCAATACATTAAAATGCAAATAAATTATGCAGTATATGCAACTGCATAATACTGCCACAATTTGTTCGAATTTTGAAATTTTGAATTGTTTTCAGCATTTGAAATGTCATGATTTACTCTAGATTTACCCGAATTCAGTTTTCTTTTAATTATTAGAAACACAATTTGCCATGACAAGTTCATTTCGCAGTATAGCATCCTTTTGAAATAAAATAAGTGCATATTTAGTACACTGACTACTTACTTCTGGGCATAAGTAAAAAATATATATAATATATATTAGCGAAAAAGTTGCAGTTAAGATTGCCGGCCAATATGGAAATGATATAAAATGCATTTTTAATAATAGGAAGAAAGGGCAAAGATACATGCCTTAAACAATAGCAAGTTTATATTCAAATTGGGGCTATTTAACTCAGACAATTAGAACTTTACCCTGGTTGGGTTAAGGATCTGTTACAATTAAGTTAATTTATAATAAATGCATGCATATTATGTGGGTATAACAGTAAATGTTTGATAAAAGTGATTATTTGGACTAGAAGTATTATTGAACCTTTGTCATGTTTACTAACAGATTATCATGGTTTACTAATTTAAAATTAATGCATGCATAATTTGTTTTCAGCAGCCAATGCACTATGTGTGATAAAATATTATTCTTACTCCAGTCTGACTTATTTCCACACAACAATACTTATCTATATACATTACAAAATAAATAAGCTCATTATAAAGCATCGAAAGTAAATTAATGTATTAATATTTTTTGAATAAATATAACTAAAAAAGCAAAAACACTTTATTCCCATCAAATTTAAATTCTAAATAACGATTTAAAAAACGAAACCTGAGATGAAATCATGTCAATATTTTATTATAAACAAATGCATGTGACACTAAAAATTGTCCAAGCTTTCATAAGTTCACAATATTTGCAATTGGGGATAAAAGGAAAAATTTAATAAGGCTTTAAAAATGAAAGTCAGATAAAATACACATTTTTTTTTTTTTTAAATAACTCATTTAAATCAAACACATGTATCACTAAAATTGTCTGTGCTTATAATTTCACAATATACACAAATGGATAGAACATGGGAAAAAATACTTTAACTTATATTGCCGATAAAAAGCAGATTATATTCAGAAAAACTGTTTGCTACCCCCAGAAATGAGTTTTTACTATAATCACTAATAACTCTCTCTTTTTAGTAACACATTGACAAAAAAAAGAGTTGTGATGTATGTGTGTGTGGATGCCATCCATCATACACAGTAAAATTCTATTTAAAGAAATAATACTTTTAGAAAATATTTAAAATTACACTATTTGCCTGGATACAAAATAATAAAAACATACACATAATTAAATTTAAAAGTAACTTACATTATTATTCAAAGCCGGTGAGTTTCTGGATCTAATATGTGAGCTTCTTTCATGATTATCAATAATCTGGAAAAAAGAAAAGTTAAGTGTGTTATTAGAGGAATTATACAAAAAAAAAAATAAAAAAAAAATTTAAAAAAAAAAGATTTCAAAGCTGATGAGGAAAGTAAAATGCAACCTTATAGGTATAGTGCTTTAATGAAAGATATAGAAGAAAGATGTAATACCAATTTCATAAAATTAAAGTCGTCTAACTCTTATACTCATTCACAAAAAGTAAAATGGCTTGTTAAAGTAACCTGATGCAAGTAACAAGCAAACAAGGTGTGACTTTGACAAAATATTTTCTTTTCTGGTTCTTTTTGAAGCAAGAATGAGAAAATATTTATAATTAGGAAATCATCAAAGTGCAATAAACTGAGTGCAAAACTTGCGTTATTTACCTATTCCCTGATGAAGCTTTTTTTTTTCTTTATTTATAAAATGTACTTTTAAGAACAAGGACATGCTAAAAACTAAATGATTTTTTTTTGTCAGCTATCACTTTCATTCTTAAAAAAATCATATTCATATGATTTACATTGAGGATCTGTTTATAGAAATAAAAAGATTTCAATCAATAATACATTATGATGAACATAAATTTTCTGTTTCATCAAATTAGATTCTAAAAATTAAAGCCATAGTTATTTCCTTTTTAGAAAAAAAAATACATGTTCACAAAATGAGAGCTTTGGAATAATGGGCAAAATGTAATGTTGTAATTAACTTCTTTGTTAATTAGAAAAGATAATAAAAAATATTTTTAAATGGAAAATTGAAAAATTCTTTAAACATTCGAACTCACAATTTCTTACTTTGAGTTCATGTCATATTTTATTAAAAGAATTTAAATTAGTAAGTGTGGTTTATATTAATTTTTGTTTAGTTTTAAATATGTAGTTTTAACTAATCGATATTATAGCATTAACTATTAAAATTTTCAATAAGCGCATGTAAAAGTATTTTTCAAAAATACAAAATTTTAATGAATGTTTTTTTTTCTCGTCCATATTTTAATCATTATTTGTCTAGCTGCATCTCCTAAAAACTTTTCCAGACTTCAATGGAATACACAACTTTTACCTCTTCAAAAAATAGATTTCTGTATTTTTTTCCAAAACAACTGGAATGCACTTACTAGAATATTATTATTATTCAATAATAATAATAATAATATTCAAAATTTTTGAATATTATTATTATTCAAAAAAAATCACATACAGACAGAATTTTTAATTCAATAATGGAATAGTCAAAATAATTTTAAAAAGAACACTTATAGAGTATACTTATCCCAATGGTATGTACATAAGAAATTTTTTTTTTTAACTATGTTAAAATAAAAACATCTTCAGTACTCATAATAGAACATGTGAAACATTCAAAGGGTTAAGAGGAAATGCACATATTTCAATCTAATGATATTTAGAATACTTTCTATGCACAAAAGTATAATACGATTGTAATTTAAACCAGAAATGTTGTAATATGAAAATGAAAAGATGTTTATCAAACTTCTTAAATTTGAAATCAATCTGTTCCTATTTTTTTCTTTATTAGAAAAATAACAACAAATTATTTGTAATGAAAGTGAATAGAATTCTAAATTAAAGTTATGTCCCACTTCTTGGAACGCCCTCCTTCATCGTTATTTAGTAACCAAATTCTTATTGAGTACCCAAGCAAAAACTCATTTAGGAAATAAATGGTGAAGTTTGTCAACTGCTATTAATTTTTCATATCTCTCATTCATTAAAAAGTTCATTTTAAAATATACCGAATCAAGTAGTCCGGAATAACATGCTGCGATTCCTTGAAATGACTTTTGGCGCCAGTTTAGAAAATTAACAATGCTCAAACGCAATAACTTTTTTTAAAAAAATTTCATTGTTTTAAACGTTAGGAGCATCGGTCAGGATATGCAATTAGAATGCTGTCATGACTGAGAATTTTAGATTCAATCTAGTCAAGCCATTTATAGTTAATTTATCAAGTTGTTCTTAACATATCTATCTTCAAATGCAAATGTGGGCTCATGATCAAAATGAAAAGAATGTGTGAATGGAACTCATGAACTCTAAATCAGGGATCTGTCTAGATTTTTCTGAGAGGTGAAAATTTTGTGAAATTTCAGACATAATTTGTGAAAATGAAAATTTATATTAAAAAATCAACACTAAAATATGGATTTATCATTTCTTAGGAGAGACTTAAAAAAATTTTAAGAAAAAGTATTTTATGTTTCTTAAAGTTGAATTTGTGAAGGTACCGCTAAATGGTAGTAAGTTTGGCCTGGACAGACCCCTGAATATATTTGATAATTTTCAAGTATTTTTTTAATTAAATACTTTCTGTGAAGAAATACACAAAAACTGAAGATTGAAAAAAAAAAAATAGTTCAGAAAAATAAAATTCGCTCATGTAAAGATGGATAGATATTTGTTAATATTTTCTCTTGTTTGTAAGTAAATTTATTATTCTAACCTATTTTTTTTTTTACAAATTTTTTTAATCAATCATCAATTTAGTTTGTTTTTAAACATGAGTATAAATTGCTTTCTCCAGTTCAATTCGTCGCCCAAAAATAATTAAGTAGTGACTAAATTTGTAATAAAGTAGATGTTAACAAACAAAAAAATGCAGTTTTTTTTTTTTTATTTTACTACTGCACTGACTTATTAAACAGTATGTGATGAAAGATTCACGCTGAAAATCGTTTGAACTTGACTAGGGAATCAAAGGAAACTATTACGCAAGCAGTGAAATAAATTACTAAAAAAGAGCTTTTATTAATTAAGAATGAACAAAAGTATTATTAAAAATAATGAGAAAAAGAAATCGAAACAATTTGAAGATAGTGATCCAAAAGAAAAATATACCAAATATAAACAAACCAAAGAAAACAAACAAGAACTACATTTCCAGAATTAGTACAGTAAGTATATAATATCAGTACCTCTTTGGATATAAAAAAAGATTCTTCATCGATAATCTCAGCAGTAATCCTCATGGTGGATCGAAAAATATTTCTTGTACTTTTAATCAAGGTATAAGAGATAATAAAAGCCCTCTTCTGCAGAAGCAGAACAGACTCATACAAAACAAAACCAACAAAACAATGTTGCCATTTTAGTAAAAACTTGTTCTGTGACATCATCAACGATATTTTAACGCACTTAACAAAATTCTGAGTGTGAAAATCTAAGTAAGCTACAAGCAGATTTCTTGAAAAGGAGATTTCCTAAATAAAGTTCCAAATGAAAATTTTTCTAGATTAATTTTTCGATTCTTTCAGAACAAATAATTAAATTTTTCCACTCTTTTTCGTTTTGAACTCTGGAATGTGATCACAGGAAAAATGATCATGAGAGACAAGAGATTCAAACGAGAATAAAAATTAAAAAGGTATGGGAGTCACTGGACTTCGTTGGTTCTATGACCCCATCAATAATTTCATCATCAATTTAAATTTAGCTAAGTTAAAAATAAGCTAAGAATTTTTAAAAAATAATCATGTTGCAGATTAAAGAAACTTTATCTTATTTATTAACTACTTCTTTGACAAATGTAAAATTTTCATTTATAAGCTCTTGGAACTATTTTTTCTTCAACCGTTCCATAAAAATTGGACGCCAAATATGTCTATGGATGATAGCGTTTCGAGAGGGTAATTTTTTTTTAAATTTTTATTTTTATTTAAAGTAGTATAAATTTTCGAGCGAGTTATGATGTGCGAGTTTAACGCAATGAGTTTCGGAATTGGGTATAATATAGCCTACGTCACAGGTTGTGTTGTTCCTACTAAATTTAACCCATGAACGGCATTTTCTGCGAGCCTAACTTCAAGCCACAAATAAACAAACAAAGTGTTCGATCGTTTAAATAGCTGCTCGCCAGATTTTATTGCATTATAAAGAAAAGTTATTGAAACTAAATACAACTAAATAAACAATAACAACTAAAACAATTAACAACAACTACTAATAACAATAACTAAATAAACAACAACTAAATTCCATTCGTTTAGCATTGCGTCATATGTTGTTCCTACTTAATCGAAGTAGTTGTGTTTTTTTCATATTATACCCAATTAGAATAAAAGAGCACCCCATCTACGTTTCAAAGTTTCATCTGTGAAGTGTTTCTTGGATTGGAATTTTCTTTCACACTTTTAGATGACATTTTAAGAGATTGATTCAAACTTAGTTCATTTAAGGATCTCAGTTGATATTTAATTTTCATCAATAAATAAATATATGATATTTCTTTAGCTGCAATTATTTCATTCAATGTTTCTTTAGACAGTTATTGTTTATATTTTTTGTTTATTAATAGGTTTTAAGAAATCGTTTAATTTAACTTGGTTAAACCTTTCTCATAGTGGGTAAAGCCTTCCTTATGGTGAGTCAAACCATCCTCAAGTAAGGAAATTTGACCAAGTTTGTACGTTCAAGAAATATATTAAGAAAATTAGTAGTTCGTTACTTAAGGGGGGGGAATGTAAATAGATAGTAAAAAATATGAGCTATCATGTAATGTTTTTCTAGAAGTTTTATCATGCACAAAAAAATAATAAATTAATGCCAAAAAAAATACTTTAGTAAAATGTGAATCAAATCGCATATGTTACCCAAAATACTCATGAGAAAAAGTTCAACTATTTTAATGCAATTTAAAAAAAATGGGATGTTTAACTTATTGCGCCTTTTTACATCGTCATCAATTTTAAGAACATAATATAATTTGTATGTTCTTGAAATTTAACATTCAAATTTTAAACATGGTATAAAACGTTAAGCGCATATTATATAAAATGTTAGAAATTGGAAAGAAAGGAAAACAACCTTGATAAAATCCAATGAAAAAAATTAAACAGAATTTTTAATCATGAAGATATTCAGAATATTTTAGGTTATAGTAAAATATGATAATCATGCTTATGAAGAGAAATGATAATTGCGAGCACAATTTCAACTTAGAACGAGTGCCCATTCATATCTTGCCCTTTTTTATTTTTAATTAATTATTTACTTTTTTAAAAAAATTTTGAATATAATATATCAGAACATATCTTATTTCTTTAAAAATTAATCAATTTACAGAAAAAGTTATTTGCTTTGAAATAGCTTTTTTATTCTGAAATGCGTAGGATTTTTATGAGTATAACAAACCGAAGATTTCAACTTCTAATTTTACTTCTTTTGACCGCAACTTTGTCAACATTTTATATAGGACTCTTTTATGTTTGAAGGAACATTGAATATTACTGTCTGATTTTTATCAAGTTGTTCGAAACAAAAGTATTTAATTGCAAATAATAATAAATATTTTCTTGAATAAATATTTTCTCGGATGCAAAACCTGAGAAATAAATTCCCCCTGAAATTTCAGACATAATTTGNACCCCCCCCCCCCCCCCTGGTACGTTAAATTTCACAGAAACGAAGAAATTAGTTTTTTTTTAAACGAAAGAATATTTTAAACCCATAAAGATTATTTACGAAAATTGTCCGCAAAAAATTAAAACTAATATATTTTAGTTCGCGGGCCACAAAAAAAAAGGTTTCGCTGGTGGATGCGGCCCTCGGGCCGACAGTTGGTAACCACTGATCTAGCATAACAATTTCGTGAAAACGATATATGTATATTGGTTGCAAAATATTTTTTAATTAGCATTTATCTTGACTAAGCAAAATATTTCTATCAGTCGTAACATAATAGAAGAATAGCAAGAATTATAACATTCACCCCCCTTCGCTCTCGTTATTGAAAATATTCTAGGTTGTCCAATTATAGTTTCTCAAGCTTACATTAGCTACCACTTAACATTAGCTACCACTTACATTTAGCTACCACTTACGAAAACTGAAGAGATTTACAACAGACACTAGTGTTTCATCGCAAAAATTGGTACTTTTTCGGATATGAGACCAGTAAAAGTTTTAGACAAAAAATTATTTAAACAAAACTTTAAAAAAAAAAAAATATTTTAAATAATTTTTTTTATCTAAATCGCGGAGCTTTATGCGCTACGGTGCTATCTCAATGGTTTATGATGGAGGCAAGCTTTTAAGCGAATTAATTGAGCTAATTAAACGCTGCAGGCGATAAATAAACTATGAAATCACTTGAACATACAGAAAAGCTCCATATATAACGAGTACGGTACACTACGATAAATCCGCTATAACTACAAATTTACTAGTTACTATCAAAATCCTAACTATTACAAAAATTGTATGTTTATAACGAGTTAAAAATTATTACGACAGAATAATTTTTACCCTGCATAAATATACAATAAGCAAGAAATTAATAACATAAACATACAATTCCGTTATCACGACAGATTTATTCTAGAAAAAAATACATTTTACTGCTGTTTAAGTGTGAAATATATTACGAAAAAGGTATTTATAATAATTTATACTCCATTGAAACTTGTAAAACTATCAGCTGGTAACTTTTCAATTTCTTTTTAAATATGCTTGTTTTCCTGTCATCTAAATCTTATTTTACACCGATATACATCTTCAGAAACTTGATGCGTTTTCTTTCCCTTTAAAAGAATTTGGGTTATTCTTTTCTATCAACTTGGTGAGCGTGAATTTCGTCAGTTGACTAGATGTTATAATCAGTTCAAGGTAACAAATGCCATTTTGGCGATGAAGAAAAACGAAATCGCTAAGACTTACTCGCTTATATGAAATTTATAACCTGTCTGCATTATATTTTTCAAATTTTCCCCCTTAGGTGAAGGGATTACTGATATTTCTTTAGCGGGGGTTCAGTGGCCTGCTGTGGCGCCAAGAAATGGCCAAGGACGTCTTGAGCGTAATCTTTGGTTTACTGGGCCCAAAAACTAATGTAAAGGCCTGCCATTAACCTTCAACTAAATCGCACAAACTTTATAAACCAAAATGCTACTTAAATGGCACGTATAAGTTCCAATCTGCCTTTATAAAGACATGGTTTTAAGAAAAATGTGACCACCGTAAGGCCTGGCAAAAATGTTAATTTTACTTAGGTCAAATTAAATTAATTAATAGCACTCTATTTGAAAAATCGTAAGAACCGCGGTTGTTGTTTGGGTGCTCAATTTGGCGTTATAATTTTTTTCATTGCGAAAAAACTATGAAACTTAAAAAATTAAGAAGTTGTGAAGAAAAATGTATAAGGAATACAATTAAAAAAATCACACCATTCGATAATTAATTCGAAAATCAATTATTGTTTAACTTGTTGTAAAGAAAAATATCCCGCGGGCCAATCTGCACGCCGCAAAAGCTCAACTTAATGCGTTTTTGCAGTCGAAATTTAATGTTCTATTTTTGTTTATGGACTTAATCTGTTTTATTTTTTCCCCTGTAAATTTAATGTGTTTGAAAGTTATTGCAATTTTAAGTCCTTTTTCTTCGAATTCTTACTGACTAATTTTGATTTACGTTGCATTTTGCTTTGTTGCGCAAAAAACTACTACACTTAAGAAATTGAAATTACGAAAGTGTCTAGAAAAATGTATAAGGAAGTACGGTGGAAGAAAAAAATATTGAGATTCAATATGATTTCAAGCCGATCTAAAACCCGCTGAAATGCATCAACAGTGTTGAAACTTGGGGTGTTGAAAAGTTTATGAGCTTGAGGTAATTGTTTATGAGCTTAATGTTAGCATTGTTTTTTTTTTGTTTGTTTTTTAATTCTAATTTGCCATTTTAATTATTTCTCAAATTTCTTTCTTATTTTTGCTTTAAGTAATGCATCCATTAAAAAAAAAAAACACTTACTTATCTATTACGAAATCTCCTTTTTATAAACTCGCGTTTGACTTGGCGTCATAAGTAACAAAAAAAAAAAAAAAAATGAAAAAACATAATGAAAAAATAAGAGAATGAAAGATTAGATATTGCTAACATTTCTATTGAAATTCGTAAAAATATAAAAGACACAAGAGAGACAGAGAGGTAAAAACGAGTTATATGTGGGTAGCAAGTAAAATTTTTCCTCAGCAATTACTTCTCATTTTATCGCTAAGTCTGTATTTCTAAGTAAAAATAATTCTTCAAGCGCACGTGAGTATTTTGTCTAATCCAGATAATCATTTATTTCGTTAGAGTCAGCATATTAACAA